CTGGTTGAAGAAAACGAAATCAGAAACTTCAGTATTTGTTCGGAATCGAGTAACGAAGATACGCGAACTATTTCCGAGTGATTCGTGTCAGTATATGTCGACCAAGGCAAACCCGGCCGATTTAGTTTCGTGTGGAGTTTTCCCAAAAAACTTAATGAAGAATAAACTTTGGTGGAATGGCCCTGAATTTCTCCCGATTGTAGTGAACCAGTATGATGAAGAATTAGAAACTGTTGCAGTTGGTGAGGCCATTGAACAAATAGTAACATGTTATTCTGAAATTCAGCAATTTCCGGAAGTTACAAACGGATTTTCGCTTGCATCAATCGATTTGTCTTTAATAAACGTCAGGTCGATCGCAGAAGCGGTAGTCTGACTTACGTCGAACACAACGAAGCCCTGCTGACATTGGTGATCACCGTTCAGCGAGTAGTGTACCGTGAAGAAATTGATTGCATTTTGAAGGGGAAGTTAAAGGAAAGTTGAGGAACATGCACCTAATCTACGACTGCTGAGAGTTGGTAGTCGATTGAGACACACAGACCTGCCAAAGAATCAAAAACACCCAACAATACTTCACGAGCATCCTGGTGGAAGCATTGCATGTGGGGTTAAACGGATTATTGGTTGTGGTGCGGCAGAAGTTCTGACCGGTGAACGCGAAGCGGACAATCCATCGTGTCATCAGGCAATGCGTGACATGCATCAAGGTCCAACTTAGCGACGTACAGCAGGCGATCTCCCGAGTTGTCGAGTGACAGCAGCTCAGCCCTTCGCTAGAACCAATGAGATGGATTACCGAGGTGAAGCAATCGTTTAAGTTGTGTGAGTAAAACCCCTGTACGATACAAGCAATTAGTGACGTCACTACTTGCGTTTACGTTGATTTTTTGGTTTACTAATACAACCATATTTCACGATCTGCATCACCATCTGTACCTCATTGCGCTAGAACGGCTAGAACCGGCATTGATTAGGTAGGTCCATTTTTTTTCAATATGTCTGCTTGTTTGCACGGCGAATGAGAACGACCCAAATTTGAGTTTAGTTCACTCATAATCGCCAAAAGTGCAGGAACGCAGCGATGAGTTAAATTTGTCTCATGGTTTCCTGTGGAAAACCTAAAAAATCTGCCGGAAAATGAGGAAATTGACGAAAATTTTATTCAGTCTCGGAGTAGTACCAATAGACTGAGTGAATCCAATCTTTACTTTTCTCAAATTCGGGATTTTTTCCCTGGAAAAACCTGGGAAAACATGAGGAAATTTTACTCATCGCTGAGTTCCTGCACTTTTGGCGATTATGAGTGAACTAAACTCAAATTTGAGTCGTTCTCATTCGCCGTGTGTATGTATGGTCGCCAAGGCCATACACTTAGAGCTGGTGACATGACTGACAACTGAGGGTTTCCTGGCGGCACTCCACCGATTTGAAGGCCGTCGTTGAAATCCATCGAACCTATTCTCTGACAAAGGGACTAACTTCCGTGGTGCTGAAAAAGAACTAACCGAACTAATTGAGCTTCTGAAGTCCCAAATTCTCGAGAACCGTATGAACGATTTCTGTCAGCCACGTGGGATTTCCTGGAGCTTCAATCCTCCTGAAGCACCACATCAGGGTGGAATTTGGGAGGCGAATGTTAAATATGTACATGAAGTCGCATCTTCACAAAACCCTCAACGAAAGCTACTTGTCACATGAAGAATTGAACACACTCTTAATCCAAGTGGAGGCCATACTCAACTCGAGGCCTCTAGTACAGATGAGTGAAGATCCTGTATAATACGAAGCCTTAGCCCCGGACACTTCCTGGTGGGACTTGAACTGACGACGAAAGGATAGCTGAACCGCTGCATCATACAGCCTGCATGAGGACCTGAGGGACTCAAGACTTTCGCGGTACCAGGAAATACAGAAACGAAAGCAGTGTTTTTGGCGTGGATGATCGAATGAATAGATAACCAGTTTGCAAAAACGGAGTAAATGGTTTAAAGATCCAACGCTGTTGAGGAATTGTTTTATTGTTTTACATCAACATGCTGGATGAAGCCCCAATGATGTTAACCTCATCAACTATAGTAAAATATATTCAAGCAAAAACATATATCTTATAGTCAGTTACTCCTGCCGGCGAAAAACAGAAGAAAACATTCGACGTAGCGCATCACGGAAGAGATGAAAGTAGAAAACAGATGCAACTCTGTTGAATATTCTCTACAGTCCGCAAATCGCACCGTATGCTCCATAATTTGTGCGACGTAGAGGCAGAAGGTTATTACGAAGCGGTCGGGGTTGAACATTCAGGTCAATTTGCCTCAGGGATAGCCTCGCAATCTGTCCTTCCTTGCATGATATCGGCCACGGTTAGGGTTCTGCTTGTTGTCGTGAACTCAGATCGAGGTTGCAAACATCTACTGTCTCTTCTAGTCCGGAGAAGTTCTAGGTCGATAAGTTGACAACGGCTGTCGTAACTGGGTAATCGAAACGAATCATTCTAACGCAAAACGAAGAAAAGTTGTTGTAGTTTGGGTTCTAAACCGCTGAACAATACTCAAGCGTCGATCGAACAAGCGAACAATAGAGAGATTTTAGACAGTAGATATCAGTGAAGTTTTTAGCTATCCTAAAAATGAACCCTAAAGTTCTTGGCGCCTTATCAACAACATATGCAATCCCCCTTATTCTGCGAGTCACGTGACTCTCTCTCACCGGTGAGGTGACAATAGTCACCTCGTGTGAGGTGACTCTCCATTTGATTTACATGGAGAGTCACCTCACACGAGGTGACAATTGTCACCTCACCTGTGAGAGAGAGTCACGTGACTCGCAGAATAAGGGGGAATGTGTTGCTTGAATAAGAGCTGCGAATCCAAGATCGCACCCAAGTCTTTCACCTGATTCACGCGTTCGATTGTCGAGCCAAGCAGGTCATGGCTAAATATTATCGGTTGTTGTTTTCGTGAGAACGTAATAGCGGAGCATTTGGCTGGGTTCACTACCATTCTGCCTGCACCAACTAGCGAATACATTCAGCTGACGTTGAAGAAAGTGACAGTCAGCAATGAAGCAGATTCGTAGAAAGATTTTGAGGTCATCTGATGATAACCGAGGAGCTTCGATGACCAGATGCACGTCGTTGAAATACAGTATAAAAATTAACGGTCCCTTGCGGGATCCCATGTGGCTTCCCCTTGCCGCCCGGTAAGATATGATCGAAACCAACTCAGAAGATTACCGCATACACCGAGCCTGCCAAGTTTAGCAATCGCAATAGCATGGTTCAACTTGTCGAATGCTGCGGATAGGTCTGAATAAATAACGTCCGTTTGAACCCGATCCGACAGATTGGTAGTTGTAGAGCGGCCGACAGTAAACCCATGTTGATCAGCACTCAAATACTGCTTGCAATGGGACAGCAACGGTTCCATAATCACTAGCTCTAATAGCTTCGAAACGGCACTTAACGATGTAATTCCTCGATAGTTATCCACAGCTCGTTTCCTTCCTTTTTTGTGGACGGAAAACATGTGCGCAAATTTCCAGCAAGATGGAAATATGCCACTGGAGAGAGACATTCGGAACAGGCGAAGAAGCGGAATTAACAAGCTAGCAATATGTCTCTTCAAAAATACAGATGGAACTCCATCAGGTCAAGGATTGAAGGATGACTTGAGCAGAGTCGCGGCCTCAGAAATCATCTCAGCATTAACATCAATTGCACCCAGCGTTTGATCATTTACTGGAACGTTCCTGGCAGGCAGGTTAATATGGTCGTCAGTTAGTACCTCATTAGTGAATAAACTGGCAAACTTTTCGGAAAAAAATGCGGCATATATCCTGAACGGTGGCAGCAACTTCTCCGTTGACTTCCATAGACGATGGAAGGCCGGATTGCCTGCTTTGCTCGTTCACGTAGTTCCAAAAGGATTTCGGGTGTAGGTAACTTAAGTTTGCACTGGATGCCTCGTTGGAAACTTGAAAAGCATTCACGACTGACTCGCTGGTACATGTGATTCAGCCTCACATGATGTAGTTTCAGAGGAAGCGTGCGATACTTCGTAAACTTCTCAATACTGCTCTCTTGATTGACTTCAACCTACGTAACTCTCTCGTTGGCCAGGGAGGGTGAGACACTTTGTGGTGAGTTCTTTTTGGGACGTGTCTGTCAATGACATATGTCAAGACATGAGAAAAGGTTTGCAATGCAGCCTCAACGTCTGGATCAAGGATGTTCTCCCATACCATGCTAGACAATACATCTATGATGCTACGGTGGTCAGCTTTACGGAAGTCATAAGAAACCGTAGCAGGATAACCGTCGAAATCACGCACGAGTTTGTCCTCAACAGTGACAATTATAGAAGGGTGATGTGGAACTAGCTTAGTTAGTGCACAAGGAGCCGAGGAAATTAATGGAGCCCTGTCCTGTGCGCTCACGAAGCAGAGATCCAAACTACGATCATTTTCGTTAGCTACATGGTTAATTTGAGAAAGCGTCGCTGCGCTGTAGTTGTCGAGAAGGCTAATAGCTCCTGCGTGAAATGTAGAGCTATCAGGATCTGGATGCAGGAATCCGCTATGAGATGGACTTCACAAAACGCCTGGCAGATTGAAGTCACCAATGAATATCTCATCAACTGTAGTGGCACTTTCGATAACTGTGAAAACTGACCGACAGTGAGTATCGATGAGTTCATTGTCCATAGTTTGAATGAAGAAGAACATTGTGCCATGTTACGAACTCCCATCAAAAATGATTTTTGTGTTTACAATGATTTTGGAACTGTTCATGTGTATTGGAGTGAGCTTATCTTCGTGCTCTCATCGCACGTCTCTCAAAATTTGTGCCTGCTCTCTGGTCTCTTGCACTCGAAAAAAAAGTATCGCACAGCACTGCCCCACTGCCCTTTTTAAGCTGTGCGTATTCTTCCAGACGATCAAGGAAATTTAAGGAACAAGGAATTCTTTCTAAATTGACCTTTTTTAAGTATAAATGCATGTATTACAAAGAAAGCTTACATATAATAAAACTAAAACTAGTCAATACTCTAGAACCACGGAAACCACCCGGCGTAGGTAATACCCAGAATGGACCCGCTGGTGGCCGTTTTCAACAAGCACTGCACCTGCTGTTCGACCGTCAGATTACCCGATTCCAACCGAGGATCATCCAGTCGAAGCATCTTCAAATACCCGTTAAAAGTCTCCTGATTGCCACCCACCTGTCCGAGACGAAGATCTTCCGCAATCAAAACCTTCGGATTAGCTCCATTCAACTTCCGAATGGCGATATTGATCCGCGTTTGAGGATCCCAGGTCAACGTTGGTTTGTTCTCCTCTCGGACGATCCTCCGCTGGGCCGCTTCCAACCAATCCAACGTTGGCTCTCGCACAAACACCTCCAGACGTGATCTCAACAGCTTGCGTGACTCCCGCAGGCAAGCTATGGTATAAACCATACACTTATGCATTAGGCCGGACGTTCGCATCGGTTCCATAACGTTGACAAACTGAGGCGTCAACCGGAAGGGTACCATTTCTGGAATTGCTTGATCCCTTATTCCGGCGCCGAATGCAATGCCAAAGTCGATCCCGGCCACCTTTCCATTGCTACGATCGATCACCACATTTGACGTGTGTCGATCGCCTATGCCCAGGATCCAACAGGAGGCATTCATTGCCATCAGGCTTTTGGCGAAGTTTGCCCGGAGACTATAAAATGATTCTGCCGAAACGGCCATCTCGAACAAAGCCCGTTTGAAGGTGTCCTCCTTGATTTTGTACCGTAGTTCGTTGAATTTGAGTGCAATCTGTGGAAGAGGCTGGGCTAAATTTCGTTCAAAATTGGGATTAATGTCAACTTACCCTCTCAGGAGTGCTGGCAACTGCAACCTTCCCGTACAACACCGACAACGGAGGTGCTGGGTTTCCCGTCAACCCGGCCGTCTCTAGCAAAAACCTATTGAATTCGGCATCTATCGCTCTGGCAACATCCCCATCCGGATTAAACCGAACCATTGATCGCACGGCTATGCTCTTAATAGACGATGTATTCGGCAGCCATCCGATAATACCAAAGTCCGTTCGGATCGGAATTACTTCATACGTCCTCACGGACAGCTGGTGCTCCTTGCAGTGACGATCCAACGAAAGCTGACTCGAAATCGTACACAACAGTTGTTGAACTCGTTGATCCTGCCGCAAATCTTCCCCGTACTTCACCAGAAAATCGTACGATTTACCATCGCTTCCATTGATTCTGATCCGAATAGGCTTTCGCAGCGAAACGAACATCTCCAACTCTGCGCAAACCTTCACGATCTTCACGTGGTTGCACACATTCGGTTTGTGATCTACATTGTACTGACCGGGCAGCTCCAACATCTCTTCTCGTTCGCTGAAGTGGTAAGCAGCCAACCAAGGTGAATACTTGGCCAGTTCTAGCGTAGATTGCTCCGGTATCAACCCGTTCATTTTATCCTTCATATGGTCCAGATGCTGGTGAATTTCCTGGGTTTGATTTTCGTAATCGAATTCCAACAACTTCAACCACTGCGTTTTGAATCGAATAAGCTTCTGGTGTTCCCGTCCCAGATCTGGTGAATCCTCCGGGAAGGCTTCTCGCATTAAATCAGTTACAAGCTTGTGGTATTCTTCGTTTGAACCGCACCGTGCCATTCGGACGTCGGTGATAATCTTTAATACTTTTACAGAAGGAATGACGACCTGGGTCAGCTTGCTGACGAAATGGTCTAGCTTCGGGATTTCGAGTAATGCCATCAAACGGTTTGCGAAAGGGCTAATATTGCCTTCAGAACGGGTTTGATGCCGTCGGAAGTTTAGTTTTGCCGGATAGTACAGTGCCATCGGATAGCTGGTGGCGATACGAATTAGAAGGTTTTCCAAAAAGGATTGGTCACACGAGAAATTAACGAAGGACAAGATTTGCGGAATCCACCGTAGGAACATCCACTCCGGAACGGTGCTGCAGGCTTCGATGAAACACTGGTTCAGAGATCCGTCCTGCAGGAAAGGAAGTTGTAGCAAGCAGGGAAACAGCTGCCGAGCCGGTTTGGAGCCGTACTGCATCGATGCGAGCAGGGCGGTGATCAGTTGGCGTTCCAGGTCCTGGGTCTGAAAACCGAGAAGATAGTTCAAAATACCGAAACGGTCTTCTAACATTTGGAAGATGCGCTCCGGACAACGCTACAAGCCTTCCAAACATTCCATAATCTATTCTTCCGAACGCCCGAATTCAGTACCGAAGACTTACCTCGCCGAGAACTTCCCGTTCAAGTCCATCGTAGCAAAACTGGGCCAACTTGAAGTGGCAGTCGGCCAACAGCGTCGCATCTACCGATTGAGCAGTACTGTCTTCGAACAAGTCCTCACTCACCACCTCGATCGATTTCTGCAGGCAATCTCTGGAATATGACCCTAGATGAACGTCTACAGAACCTATAAAAAAAAACGTAGGAAACGTCATTCATAATTCCCTTCTACAAACCCAACTCGCATCTTACCTTGATCTCCACCTGTCAACACACTCCTCAAACTTTCCACATCAATCTCCGGATTCTGCTGGACAACTCCTCTCAAGGCTTCCGTCACCGCAAACAACTCATGCAGTCCAGCCATCTTAACGGTTCTGTAGCTTCCCAAACCATCCTCCTCCACCAACGCTTCCATACGCTTGAAAGTGCCAGTCATCCGTTGAAGACTGGTAGCCGGATCGCCTCCTATCTCCGCGTCGCCAATCCGCCGCAACTTAAGCTTCGCGATCCTCCACCTGTAGCCTCGTTCGCTTTGCTCTTCCGCCACCATCTCTAGCCGTTTAACGATCTTCCGAGCAAGTCGGCTGTTATTCTGCCCAATGGAAGCATCCAAAAGTCGCAACTCTGTTTCGAAGATCGCATCCGTCAATTCCTTCACGAAATCAGACTGTAGCAACCGATCGTCTGACGATGCTTCCAACAGAGTCTCCAACTTGTTCAACGCAAATTTCCTATACACCAGTAACGTATCCCAAATCAGGGAGGAATCCGAAGCCGTCGGGAATGAGCTACGCCAATTGGAAACAAGCTTCTTCAGCTGTCTCTCCTCCAACCGATTACTCAAAAGATTACTGAATGCATACACCTCCGATACTTTCCGAATGTCCAGTAGTTTCTGCACTCGTAGTTTATCCGACAGGACATCCAGATAACTCCACTCTTCCAAAAACTGACGCATCACCTGATTCGAATACAGCTTTGCCCTGGAGTATTCGCCGCTGGCGATTTGCAGCATGGAAATCTCCTCCCCAAAGTTTGATTTGATGTAATCCATCCGATCCGGAGCACGCATCCACATTTCCAGCAAAGCGATGAAACCACGTCCTCGTTCATCGCCCGCCAGATTCAGCCGGGTATTCGAATGGACATACTTGGGCATGATGTTCTCCAAATTCCACTCGTCTGTCCAGAACTCCTCCGTGTTGCCATCCACCTGTCGTTCCAAGATTGGCACCAAATCTTCCCACATTCCCATCTGAGCGTAGCAATTAAAGTACGACTGGTAGCAGAAATTTTGCTCCGCAACTCGCGTCTGGTTGTCCCGTATCATTTGATGATAGAGTTCCCGAGCCTTGTAGAAGTTTCCGCTGTTCTCCAGGTCAATAGCTTCCTTCAATCGTGGGTCACTGTCCATCTTATCGGAGAAAACGTCGCCTAGAATGTCAAACTCGCTCAACGAATGATGCAATTCAGCCAGCTTGATCCAATGTAGCGCTTCCAGAGTGACTGACGACGACCGAGAACTTATCGACTGTTCTGGGAACTCGTACTCATGCAACTTACTCTCCAGATACAGAACCCCCATCGTCATCATGTTAGCTCCACTGGCAACAGTTGTCACACTTTCGGCCGAAATGTTGAACAATTTCGGACGCATCATTGCCACCTCTATCAACCCTCCGAAGAGGTTGGGATCACAACTCTTCGTTTCTGTGAAGATTTTCTGAATTGATTTATCTATAGCTGCGATCACATCTCGTGAATCTTGTTCATTTTGGTCCCATTCGTCCAGTATACCGGAGAATATGGCGACGAATACCTGCCGCGCCAGCGGCGGATCACGTCTACAGAGAGCTTGCAACGGCATCAGCAACGCTAGGCCATTGATAAGTAAATCGGGGTAATCTCCGATTCGATACCGACGATACAGGATCACCTCTCCTTGCTTCATCTTATGGCTCTCCGCTTTCCGAACGGTTTCGTAACTGTGTCGTTCGATAGCTCTCAGCGCTTGCTCACGCGCTGATCGATCCTTGTCTTTGAGAATTCGCTTCCGTAAACTATCGTATGACTTGGCACTTCTCGCTACAGTCGGTGTATTCTGCGAAGCCGTACGCCTCGATCGACGATCCAAGATCGGTGGATTGATCTCGAACATCAGTGAATGCTGTGTTGGAAGTGTAAAGCTGGTTGCCGGTTGGGTCATGACAGTAGGATCTAGCGTCGGTTCGAACATGGCTCCCTCAGCGTCAAACTGTGTCGCTTTGATCAAGCGCTCCATTTGCGACCCATCACCCGCCGTAAGAAGTCGTTGTTGCGATTCGACAAACAGCGGTGCGGAAGCGAAAGAATTGCGCTGCCTCCAGCGGGTATCGATCGCGTACTCCTTCAACTTAACGTCGGTTTCGTATTCGTGCTGGAAGATCCTCCGTTTGGATTCAGGATTTTTTACAGCGGAATCGAGCAGAATTTGGGTTGCATAACCGAGGTAGTTTGCTTCCTGGGATGCATCGTACAGGTCGGACAGAATGCGTTGGAAACGGTTGTCGATTTCGGTGGGGAAACGAGATTCGTCTGTCCAAAATTCAAACATTCTGTTCTGAATCGGTTGTTCCGGATCGTTCAGACCCGTCAGTAGGGCTCTCTTCACCTTCTGTTGACTTTCGGCGGACAGGTGCTGAATGGAATTTTCGTGAACAAAAATGAGAATCTCGTACACAATGTCCCGGACCTCCGATCGATCGTTGCCAGCCAATGTGACTACACCGTCTAGTAAGTTTTCCAGGTTTTCTCCGGACATCAAAGAAAGCGACTTATTGATCAAGTGCAGAGCCAGTAACTGGTAATGTCGATCTTTCAGCATACCTTTCAAGTCGAGGGACACCAACTCCCGGTGTACTTGTTCCTTGAAGACCTCCACACGGGAAAGCAGCATCTCCAGCAGTATTTTCTTCGAGGACCCAGTTGTCCCCGGAATGGCATTCGTTATGACAGCCAAAAACGAATCAACTATCGAAGGGAACGCCTTATGAATCCCGTAGATAATGTCCGTGAACTTCTTCTCCTGTCGCTTCCTCATCGCCACCAGCTTAGCGAGGAACTCGTTCTGATATCTCTCCTCCTCCCGCTCCTCTCCATTTGGGTACAAGTTACTCAGGCACATTCCTAACAGTTCCGAGGCAGGTCTGTAGACGACAGCTTTCTCCGAATCCAAGCATCTGAAGATTGCCCGGATGAAGTCGAACTTGGACGTCTCGGTCCACGGTACCACACCATTGGCCATAACAATAGCGTTCAGCTGCAAACCTCCAATGTTTTGCATCGATTCCGGATCCTGAGTTGGCCCAATCATGTCGTACAGCAGCTGGACCGGTACGCTGATCACTGTCTTCCACTGTTCCACTAAGCTCTTAACCAATTCCAAATTTAACCGAAAGACCTCTCGTCTAGCGTGGAAACAGTTTCGCATCACAAACTTTACCACTCCGGATGCCAAGCTGATTTCATCGATACTGGTCGGTTGGTAAACATCACTCCATTCCAGGACCAGAGCGATCAAATCCGTTACGAATGTGTTCAATTGCGGAGCGATACACTCATCGACGATGACCTGCATCAACGGCGGAATTAGTGTAGAAGCGTATGGCTCCAACCACGCCCGGCAGTTATCGATGACCTTGGTCAGGAAAAGTCGCACATTTTTGTGCTGTTGTTGATCGCGCAGAGATGCAGCTATAAACTTGACCCAGGGAGGCGGAGTAGCACTGGCTCCCTCCAGAAGTGGTGTAATTTTGTTCTCGTGCATGTGCTGAATGACGGCACAAATTGTTGCCATCACTTCGTGGTCATTGATCTTAGAACGTTCCAGGGATACGGTAGTTCGCCGCTGTTTCATGGCAGCAAATTCTTCCGCTTCTCTTGCTGCCACTTCTTGAGTAGTTCGAACCACGGAATAGTTCAGATCAAGTTTGGTCACGTCCTGACTGAGTGAGGATTCGAATACGCTGGTCATTTGGATATATTTGAAGCGATTACCCGTTGAATGCCCATTAGTGGAACTCAACCGCTGGATTGATACGATTTTATCCTTGATTTTGGGATATTCGTCCAGCTCTTGGCTGTAGCTGTCGTACAAGTGAACTTCGGTGCAGTTGATCAGCTTTCTCCAGATGAATTCATTTTTATCGGCGTTCTCTCGGAACAGCAATACGTTGTAGAGTTGAAGATCGTCCTTTGTATTGCTGATGATGGAGGCCAAGGCGCGGTATGCGGCACACTGATACTTCCTAAACAGCTCCGCTGTTGGCGAATCGGGAGTAAGGAACACTTCCGATCGTGCAGCGTACGCCTTTTTGGTCAAATCGGTAATCAGCTTATTACCTGGAATTTTTCCAGCCTCGCCATACAATGCCTTGGCAACAATGCAGTCATCGGTTAGCAGGTAATCTCGTGGAAGAATGGCCACGTATAGCTCAATCAACTGGTAGCCTCCGAAGCGATTCACGAGGGCCTGCTCAGCCTCCCAACCGGACCCAAACTGACCGTAGTTGCTCCGGATCATCTCGTTGATGTTCTTAATGAAGAGTTTGTAGAACGTGTAGATCGTTTCAATATTGCAAACTCGCAGCGCACAAACCAGATACCGCTTCAGAACTGTCAAGCGGATGTTGGGTTCCAGCGATTCGTCCAGGAATTTGGTGAAAATCTGTTTCAAATTGAAGCACTGTTGATTGCTGTTCTGACTCTTCATGTACTTTTCCAGTGCGCTACGAATTTTTTGCTCAGCTATATGCTCCGCATCAGCTGCGGTAGCGTCGATTATGGCCTTGAGCAGCACCGGAGACCTCGAGACTACCATGGCATCGAGCAGAGCCGCAACGCAGTTTTCGAAGCTGACCCTCTCGGCACTGTTTGCAATAAACTCCGAAGATCGCAACGGAAAGTGTTGATTCTGCATCTTCTGTAGAGCTTCCGAAACTGGTGCGGAGTTGAAGTCAGATTCTCCGACCATGGCGGGTAGCAAGAACATGGCTTTCGATTTGAGATCCAGCGAGTTCTGAGCGTTCGCTATCAATGCCAACAACCAGCGATCAAATCCCACCGCCTTACGCCCTATCTCACTGAGCGCGATTGGGCTGGCCATTGCGAGGTTGGACATCAACTCGATCAACCGTAGATCCGTCGAGCCGAACTTGTTATCAACGTTGGAAGCTTGATCGCAAATGGTCTTCCATTTGCCAAGGAGGAATTCGCTTACCAACTTCAACGTGCCGATCTCGGATCGTTTCTTTTGATAGATAAACTCCAAAAAGCTACACAACCACTTAACGATCATTGGAAAGCTTGAAGTACTCAGCTGAGCTACGATCAACGATAAACTATCCGGAAATCGCTGCAGAACGTACTCAAAAATGGCTTCATCAAACGTGCTAACAAAGTGCTCACCGTGCAAAATAATGGATTTCTCCGACTGCTGATACATCCGCAGCTTGCAATCGCTGAACATGAACTCCACCAGCAACTCCATCGTTCCCGTAGATTTGAACATCAGAACAATACGCAGTATGACGGAACAAAATCTCTTCACCGAGGGCACCAGATTTACCACGAACAATTCATCCACTCGTAGCTCCTTTAGACCGTTGAACACGTCGTGAAGAATCTTGTTCGATGCCTCCTCCAGAAAATCTACAGTTCGGGTGTTGAAGTAACGCTTGAAGACCCCGAATCGTTTCGCCACCATCAGTATCCCCTTGGCACAATTGCAATCTTCCAATCCAATCGTTTCCGACTTCATCAAGTCTTCCATCCGATCCGATAGATCCTTCATCGAAGCGCTGAGTTTCTCCGAGATTTTCTGATATACGGTTTCTTTGAACTTCAAATTTTCAAACCCTTCAATCCTACCCAGCAAATCTTCCACTCGTTTGGGAAACTTCTCCATAGTCTCACGACATGACTTGAAGTCGAAACCCATCTTCTGCGGTTGATAGATTAGATCAACCACAAATTGGGACGCTTCATTCGAATCCCAAAAGATATCCGGAATGCTTCGACAGCACCGAAGTGGTAGCACAAGGCTCAGTAGATCAACTATTCGGACCGTGATCATGCACTTGAGCAGGTTGTACTTGATGATCTTATCGACGCACACGCGGAACTCGATGCTGGCATGACTATCCTCAATAACACCCGGGCGAATTGCCGTCATCAGTTCGAACATCGATGCATTCGCTACGTTAGACAGGAAGAATCCTATCGGGGTGAACACAGTAGATGCAGACAAGAACTCTTCGGCGTTTTGCAGGAACGAGTTTTTGATCAGCCAGTAGTACATATCCAAGCTGGAGGCAAAGTACTCCAACCAAAGGTAGACGTTCATAATGATAGGGAGCTTCCGTTCAGCAATAAACAGGAAATTCGGAGCGTTCCGGATGCCATGAATTACATCCACGTGATCGCAGATGTCAAGAATCTGGCGATCGGTGATATACTTATGTAAGAACTCACCTCCCGACCGGCAACCATCAACCGAGCTCGTCAACTTCGGGAACACCTCCATGCATTTGTGTCGGTAGCTGGACTCACGGGAATTACACTGCCCGAACAACCAGAGCACCAAGTCCTTCAGTAAACCACCCCCAAATACATTGGGAATGATCCTGATGCTGCTTTCTCGATTGAACATAGCCTTCCTTACAACCAACACTCGAACCAGATGGTCGATCGTGGCCGACACCTGCTCCAGGTTGGTCGTCGAACTGTCAAAATCTTCCGTCATCACAAAGTTCATACAGAAAACGTAGAACAGCTCGAACCAGCAACGTTCGATCTGGGTTTCTTCCTCACGCAGGATTCGATAGATGTTGTTGAACGCAAGCGCTGCTCCCTGGCGACGGTTCGGATTCGAATCCAAGCTGTAGGTACGTAGCTTTTCGAGCATCACCGAAAGATTGACCCCCGAGGAAGACGACATGGCACTTCGTTGACCGGCCGGTGTCTGCCGGATGGTCCACAGAAGAAACTCCCGCACGCATCGGGCGGCCAGGTCTCGGACACTGGTGTCCATTGGATGGGATATCGATTCCATCAGGCAGTTGGCAAGCACCTCCGTACCCTTCAGATTTATCTTGGACGGCTGGGTTAGGTAGTGAATGATTTGAAACAGCAGGGGTTCGAACATTTGACAAACCGCAATGTCGGTATCGGTGGCGAGCTGCAGCAAGTGGTCGCACAGTTTGGTCCTGTTGTGAAGCGTACAAGGGTGACTCATTGAGACAGTGCATGAATTTATAATTATCTCGTTTGTTGTAATAGGGTCATATTTAGAGATATTCATGGGCAAGTCCTGAAGCCTGTGTCTAAAAACTCAAGAATAATAAATCTTCACAAGTAATTCTATACGACTTGTTTGACCAAAATAATTCAAGGGTTATTCCAGGATACGAATTGAAGAGCAACGTTTGACTCCGGATAACTTAAAGTCTAATTAACAAACTCATGAAGTCTTAAGAATTTTGAAATTTAAACAAATTTGAAAAGCTCCAGACGTAACCTTGAAGGCAGACATCCCATGAAACCCACATGACTTGCCCTTGAAGTTCTATGGAGGATCTGGCACAAAAAGGCTTCTGGACATGTCCTACAATATCTTGAAAATTGGCCTTGAAATCTAAATTTCTCCAGCGCATCTTCAAACATTGAAAATTTTAGAACTTCCCTAGAAATTTTCGAACATGTTTATTCATTCTCGGGAAGCCTTCCGCGAGATCAACAACTTGCCCGAACAAGCCCCCCACACAGACATCAAACATACAAATGTCCGCACCCAACATACCACAGTTTGGTCATCTTGTCTTGGTACTGTATCCCGATGATGTACAGAATCAGCGCGTGCAGCAGCTCGCAAGCGGCAACCTTCGTTTTACGATCACTCGATCCCATCGCCAAGGAGCACACCCGCGCTATGATCGTATCCAGCTTGATGATCGGTCTAACTCCGACCCGGCTCAGCAGTTGCAACGATATGTTACGATTCGAATCCAAATCCCACAACACCAAAGGCCGTTCTCCTCCCTGCTGTTGACCGTCTTCCAAGTCCGAATGCTGAATCATTTTCGTGCACATATTTGGCTCGAGCTCGCCCAAGAACAGCAGCACCTTCAGCTGAAATTTGACCAAATCGCTTTCGGAACTTTCCAACGCGTGTTGAAGTTTGATCTTTTCAATCTTGCTGCTGGTTAGATTGACACTGCGTTTGCGCTGGAACTTGGCCAGTCGAGAACTGATCCGCGCAGGTAGGGCTATGTCACGCGTTTGCAAGTAGCCGTCCAGTAGTGGAAGGACATTGGCCAGCACCCGCTCACGATTATCCGATGAAATTGGAGAAGCGTCCGCAACTAGACGCTGGACACAGGACAGCGCAGCATTTGCCAGGCTAAGCATACCTTTCCCCAGTTGGAAGGAAATCCGAAGGATCTCTATCAGGTCCTGCGAATCATCCAGGAAGCTATCCAGCAAGCTTACTGGAGCACTCAGAACGAATCGAAGACACGTGAGTTGCAGTTCTCCGGTGGAACTGCGTGCCTTGGCGATCTGAAGTTCCAGGAAGTAGACCAACAGATTCACGGTTGACATTTTGGAAAAGTTCTGCTGGCTCTGTAAGAATGTAAACTTGGTTTAGAAGTTACTTTCGAAAACTTTTATTTATTACCAACCTCGAAATACGTCAAATGATTCGCTGTGAATAATCCCAGATCGATCAGCTTCACGAACCCACTAACCAACGGATGTTTCAAGGACTTTTTCACCATGTAATCGAAATAGACTGGAATCCACTCTTCGAAATGGTCCCTCACAGCTTCGTTGTAACGCAGCAGATCCTGATACAGATCGACCAAATTGAAGAAGATGTGAAAATCTTTCGGCTTCACTGGAACCAGATCGATGTTTGGATCGCAGAAGAACACGTCCCGATCTTCGCCGGAATCATCTTTGACGGTACGCTTCCGTGTGTTCAGGTCCAGTTTGTCCAAAATGAAGAACAAATTCTTCATCAACTGAGCGTAGATTGCCTTCATCAACGGGCCTCTATCCAGATTCAAACTAGAGCCCGGCGTGAGCAACCCTCGCCACAGCGGTAGATAGTTTCGGTAGGTTATGTAATCTTTCCAGTTTGAATTCTCTTCCGGTCCTCTACCCTGATTCACATCGATAACCAACATGTGCGAGCAACTCCAGATAATACCCCTCATAACGATCTTATCTAACAAGCTGTCCAGGACCCCTCCACCCAACCTACCTAGATTATCGAAGGTTTTCATCAGAGAACTCACGATCAGCTCATGGTACGAACTGCTCAAATAATGAAAATCCTTGATCAAGCCAATGATAATATTCTGTAGCGCTACGATCTGCACCCCGGTCAACTCTCGCACGTGGCTCATAATATCGGAAAGGGCCTGCACGAAATCCGGCAAATGTTCCAACAGTTCGTTCGTTTTGTCTTCCACCAGGTACACAAACTCGGTCCTCTGCATCACCAACAGTAGCAGTTCGTTCATGTACTCCTCGGACATTAGACGACTGCAGGCACCGGCCATCGAACCAAAACCACGAATAGCGATCCGTATCTCGTAGGGCTTCGACCCGGCCGCCACGAGGGTGGCCTTAAAATACTTCATGAAATAGTTCAGCATCGCAATCCGTGTCTCGCGGCTTTCGCTGGACGACGATGATTCGGGCGCCTCCTCCCGAGCCAGCAGCTCCCGAGCGATTTCACGGTGGAAAGAATGTAAGGCGTAGATCCCCACCTTCCGATCTTCGATGCCGGACCGGATCCATTTGGTGGTAAGAATGGTCTGCCAGTGGACGTAGTCCACATAGAGGAACCGCGAGAACAGGGAGCTGTGTCGTTCGAGAAGCAGGAGGGCATCTGGAACGAGAGGTAGATAGAGATGTTACAATAATGCCAATAAAGGAATCTCAAGGCTACGACGATGGTCAATACTAGAGAGGGTTTAGTATAACAGAGGAGCGAACTGGCTGGTTTTGAGTGAGAGGAGAGAACTGGTTGGTTTTGAGCCAAACGAACTGTCAAAGCCAGAGCTAATCGTGCAGCGCCAGAGGCCTGGCTGGCGGTCATGTTTTTGATGGTATCATCTGCTATTGGCGTTGACGGCACTGTCGAAAAATTTGCTCTTCCAACAAATGTAGACAGTTTCTTATGGGAATTTTCGATGGAGTGAAAGGATAGTACGAAGTCCGCCATGTTTCACGCACAGTCTGACGTTTGCTTATGGATTTTCTCATAGGAGTAAAGAGCTACAGAGTCGCCGTCAACGCCAATAGACGAGTGCACGGGTGAACTTTTTTACATCGACTGAAAAAAATTTGACACAACAGCGGGGCCCTGTTTACTAAAAATGAACACATGAATAATGCTCGCGTAACATTTGAAAAGGGCCTATCAACTTTTGTAAATAATTTGCTAGGTCCTTTCCACGAGAACCGAAGTACGTCCAAGCAAACCAAGAGCACTATCGGGAAGGGGATTTTTTTTTTTTTTTTTTTTTTTTTAACTCTTTATTTGTTCCAAATTCAAAATAAATTACATTTCATTTTAACCTAGGTGCTCCAGTTACTGCAGTAACGTACCAGCCTTAATTGTTATGATATATATCTAAGTGTTTTTACATTGTTCATGTCTTGGCAATTCAGTATTTTAAACAGGTTTTTTAACCTGCATGTCAGTATAACAATTGATATCTTAAAACTAAAAACTAAAACTAAATCTTATCTAAGTATAAAGGGAATTAATCGTTGTAATTGAGGATTGCAACGATTTTTGCCTGAAATTATTAATTATTTTGTTGGACATTTGTGCTAAAGTCTCAACATTCGAAATTCTATGTACTTCGGTTGTACTGTACCAGGGAGGCAACTTCAAAATCATTTTCAGAATTTTGTTCTGAATCCTTTGAAGTGCTTTTTTCCTGGTAGTGCAGCAACTAGACCATATTGGCACAGCGTAAAGCATGGCCGGTCTAAAAACTTGTTTAAATATTAGAAGTTTATTCGTCAGGCAAAGTTTGGATTTCCTGTTTATAAGAGGATACAAACATTTTATATATTTGTTACATTTGGCTTGAATGCCCTCAATGTGATCTTTAAAAGTTAATTTTTGGTCAAGTATTAATCCAAGATATTTCACTTGGTTTGACCAGGAAATTGGAACTCCGTTCATAGTGACTATGTGACTACTACTAGGTTTCAAAAACGAAGCTCTAGGCTTATGTGGAAATATTATAAGTTGAGTTTTGGAAGCGTTGGGAGAAATCTTCCATTTTTGTAAATAAGAAGAGAAAATATCTAAACTTTTCTGCAGTCTGCTGCAAATAACACGAAGACTTCTTCCTTTAGCGGAAATGCCTGTGTCATCAGCGAACAAAGATTTGTGGCAACCCTGAGGCAAATCAGGGAGGTCCGAAGTGAAAATGTTATACAATATAGGCCCAAGAATGCTACCCTGAGGAACTCCTGCCCTAACAGGTAGCCGATTAGATTTGGAATTTTGATAATTTACTTGAAGAGTTCTGTCAGTTAAATAATTTTGAACTAATTTCATAATATAAAGTGGAAAATTAAACTTTTTCAATTTAGCAATCAAACCTTCATGCCAAACACTGTCGAATGCTTTTTCTATGTCTAGAAGAGCAACTCCAGTTGAGTGGCCTTCAGATTTGTTTGAACGAATTAAATTGTTAACTCTTAAGAGTTGATGAGTAGTTGAATGCCCATGGCGAAATCCAAACTGCTCATCTGCAAAAATTGAGTTCGTATTGATGTGAAGCATCATTCTATTCAAAATTATCTTTTCAAAAAGTTTACTTATTGAAGAAAGCAAACTTATTGGACGGTAGCTAGAAGCTTCAGCTGGATTTTTATCCGGCTTCAAAATTGGAACAACTTTTGCATTTTTCCATTTATCAGGAAAGTATGCCAAATGGAAACATCTGTTAAATAATTTTACCAAGAAAGACAAGGTACTCTCTGGGAGTTTTTTGATGAGGATATAGAAAATTCCATCATCACCTGGAGCTTTCATATTTTGAAACTTTTTAGTTATAGACCTTACTTCGTCCAAATCAGTCCCCCAGGTATCATCAAAAATATTTTCCCGAGAGAAAATATTCAGAAAATCCCGAGCAACCTGATTCTCAATAGGACTAGTAAGACAAAAACTGAAATTATGGGAACTCTCGAATTGCTTAGCAAGTTTCTGAGCTTTTTCCAAATTTGTGATCAAAATTTTACCACCTTCTTTAAGCGCTGGAATAGGCTTTTGAGGTTTTTTCAAAATTTTTGTGAGTTTCCAAAAGGGTTTGGAACTCGGGTCTAATTTAGAAATATTATTTTCAAAAGTTTTGTTCCTCAGGGCAGAGAATCGCTTTTTAATTTGTTTTTGCAAATCCCGCCAGATAACTTTCATGGCAGGATCGCGTGTTCTTTGATATTGTCTCCTACGGACATTTTTAAGACGGATCAAGAGCTGAAGATCATCGTCTATTATAATTGAATCGAATTTAACCTCGCATTTTGGTACTGAGGCAGCTCTTGCTTCAACTATAGAAGTAGTCAGAGATTCAAGAGCATAATTAATTTCATCTTTGGTTTGCAAAGGAATGTTTGGATCGAAGTTATATTCCATAAATGTTCGATACTGCTCCCAATCAGCTCTATGGTAATTGAAAGTAGAGCTGTTGGGATTACAAATTATTTCTTGGGATATTTCAAAAGTTACTGGAAGGTGATCAGAACCGAAGTCAGCATGGGTAACCAATTGGCTACAAAGATGACATGAATCAGTTAAGACCAAATCAATAGTTGAGGGATTTCTTGCAGAAGAAAAGCATGTTGGGCTGTTTGGATATTGAATAGTGTAATAACCTGCAGAACAATCATCAAACAGAATATTACCATTGGAATTGCTTTGAGCATTATTCCATGAGCGGTGTTTTGCATTAAAATCACCAATAATGAAGAATTTAGACCTATGACGGGTAAGTTTCTGGAGGTCACCCTTGAGAAAATTCTTTTGCTGGCCTACGCATTGGAATGGCAAATAGGCAGCTATAAACGTAAGTTATCGGGAAGGGGATAATTTCCCCTACCCGATGGTGTTGTTAGTTTGCGTGGGCGTATTCGGTTCGCGCGAAAAAGGCTTAACAAGTTTTGTGTGCGAAAGTTGATAGGCCGTTTTCAAATGTTACGTGAGTATTATTCATGTGTTCATTTTTAGTAAACAGGGCCCCGCTGTTGTGTCACTTTTTGTCGAGTGAGTGAACTCAAATCCATCCACCCTAAGCTTAGTCTTTTTCCTCTCCTTCCCTTCCCTTCTTCTCTTTTCAGAAAGCGAGTAATATGGCGCTATAACCATATGCCATATAGGGCTAGGACAAGAGTTAGTGCTCAGGTCCCAACCGCTAGAAGAAAATGGTAGCGAGCAAGGGCGCTATAACCTAGGCGAATACAGCATTCCCTCCGTATAGGTTACGTCCGCACACCGCTCTCTGTTGTCCTTCGACTGAGGTCGGCTGGATCGATTGAGGGATGGCAGTGGGTTGGCGGTGCCGTCCACGCTTGTACGGAGGGAGGACTGTACGCTCGAACACAAGGGGTAAATACCTGTGTTCCATCCCAGGAGATCGGACAACCAAGGAGTGTACATTAACTTTCTTAGCTCTGTCACTCCCAACGATTTATATAGCCTATTTTCAAATCCTGCATACGGAGCGGTTGGTACGGTATGTCCCCGCTCTTTGATTACCTGTGGATTAAATGTTAACCACTGTCTATACTTATTAAGTAGACATGGTAAACATTCACTTCCACAAAAATTAACTAAACGCTACACAGTAGGCCTGGCCGCTTTATTGTTTGTTTCACATCCTTGATGTGCAGCAGGCATTAATAATGACAAGAAAAATGATAGATGTATCATTTTCCAGGATTCTTTCAAGTACTGGCTGTGTATGTGTAGACTATATGTGTAGACTAGACTAGACTAGACTAGTGAGTGAACTCAAATCCATCCGTGCACTCGTCTATTGTCTTTCTGCTTACAACACGATTTTCCGTCCCTTTCCGCCATGTATACGTCAGGCGGGCCGTATTTAAATAAGGCCCGCGATCTTGCCTACTGTCAAACGTATAGGATTGATATGGTGTTGCCAGTCTGCTGAGCAGCGCCTATCTTGATTGCATTGGCAGTGTGCTAGAATCAGGAGACCGGTAACACCATATCAATTCTATACGTTTGACAGTAGGCAAGATCACGGGCCTTATTTAAATACGGCCCGCTTGACGTATACATGGCGTAGAGGGACGGAAAATCGTGTTGTAAGCAGAAAGACAAGAGCAGATAATAGCATCAAAAACATGATCGCCAGCCAGGCCCGTGGCTAGAATTCACTTAGGCATAGGTTGCCAAGGCAGTTTGTTTTAAATCCGCCCCTCTCTTATACTAGACCCTCTCTAGTCGATACAGCCCCGTAATGAACTTTAAAATACATATATGATTTAACATTGGGAGTCATCTAATATACAAGATCACTTACCTATTTCAACAATATGCTGCAGACAGCAGGTTCGGTTCCCTCTTTGATCATTTTATTTTCAGTTTAGGTAGTTTCTTAACTACCCGGGCATTCAACTTAAGCCCAAGCTCAAGTAACGCATTAGTCTATAGCCTTAAATAAGCTTTAATTTAGCACTTCTATTGTTAACAAGCCTTCAATCAGCATTATTCAGTACATACCATGAAGAATGAAGCCATTCCCGTTAAAATCAATATCCCGATCTAGAAAAACTCTTCATGTGTCTACGAAGGGCTGGAACGGGCTCGACGTAGTCGTTAGCATCCATGGCAGGGGG